TAGAAAGCATAGGTTCCCTTATAAAAAAAGTCATTGGCACTAAGAATAGGGGACTCATAATTGAATTTTGAACTATTTTCATTAGTTTGTTTAATATGATTATACATGCTTTTTTCTTGTCATTGTGTTAATGTTGTTTTTGTCACAAATCGTATAATAGATATAGGAAGATGTGGTATGAGTGCCAATGAGACAACTCTCCATCCAAGTAACAATTTATAAAAGTAAACCATTAGTTGGTTTATATGGCAATAAAAGTTTGATTTGATTTGATTTGAAAAAAATTAAACCTGTGTTACAAATATAATTTCCATTACATTTGTAAAATATAAATTGTCACTTTATGGCAATACTTTTAGGAGGATTTTTTTACAAATAATAAATCAATTGCCAAAATATTGGTAACATATGCTATAACAAAGAAATAAAAAAAATCATTGCCCCATCTTCATTTGGTTAATTGTTTCAATTTAAATGACATCTACTTTTGTTTCTTAGCATTGTTGACACTGCTTTCAAAGAGAAGAGATTTCATAACTAATATTTTTTTAAATGAATATTTGACATGTCACATATGTTACAAATGTTTATGGTAAAAGAAGGCGTCCAGAATCAATTTTATAATGGTCAAACTATCTTGTGTTGTATTTTTATACGACCGCAAAAATTAAAAATTTTTTGGTCGTATATTGGTATGACGTTGGCGTCGTCGTCGTCCGAAGACACATTGGTTTTCGCACTCTAACTTTAGTTTAAGTGAATGGATCTCCATGAAATTTTACCATAAGGTTCAATACCACGAAAGGAAGGTTGGGATTGATTTTGGGGGTTATGGTACCAGCAGTTTAGGAATTAGGGGCCAAAAAGGGGCCAAAAATAAGCATTTTTGTAACTTCCAGACAATAACTTGTGTGTAAGTGTATGGATCTCTCTGACATTGTACCACAAGGTTCCATATCACAAAGGGAAGGCTGTAATTGATTTTGGGGGTAATTGCCTCAAAATTTTAGGAATTAGGGGCCAAAAAAGGGGCAAAAAACAAGCATTTTTCTAGTTTCATGACAATAACTTGTGTGTAAGTGTTTGGATATTTCTGAAATTGTACTACAAGGTTCCATATCACAAAGGGAAAGCTGGAATTGAGTTTGGGGGTAATTGCCCGAAACGTTTAGGAATTGGGGTCCACAAGGGGCCAAAAATAAGCATTTTTCTAGTTTCCAGACAATAACTTGTGTTCAAGTGTATGGATCTCTCTGAAATTTTACTGCAAGGTACCATACTACAAAGGGAAGGCTGGGATTGAGTTTGGGGGTGATGAATCATAAGGGGGTTCAAAAAATTTGGGGGGGGGGGATTTTTTTTTTTCTTTTTTTTTCTTTTTTTCCTTTTTTTTTTCTTTTAAAATTTTCCATTTTAAGTTGGTTATTTCTGATTTATATTTAAAAGCAAATAATAATGATATGGTAGGAGATACACACCAAACAGGATGTGTAAATTATATATAATAAGTATTGTGCAATAGCAAGAAATTTTCAATTGCACAGTATTGCACAATAGCAAGAAATCTTCAATTGCACAGTATTGCGCAATAGCAAGAAATCTTCTATTGCACAGTATTGCACAATAGCAAGAAATATCCAATAGCACAATATTGCGCAATAGCAAGAAATTGTCAATTGTACAGTATTGCGCAATAGCAAGAAATATTCAATTGCACAGTATTGTGCAAAAGAAGATACTTCGTATAAATTGCTTATTTCTTGATCAATTTCAATGGGGTTTTATTCTTGAATTCTTGGGGTTCTTTAATATGCTGAATCTAACCGTGTATTAAGTTTTTGGATTTGGCCCCGTTTTTAAATTGGTCCACATTGAGGTCCAAAGGGTCTAAAATTTAACTTTGTTTGATTTCATCAAAAATTGAATTATTGGGGTTCTTTGATATTCCGAATCTAACCGTGTATTTAGATTCTTAATTTTTGGTTCCGTTTTCAAATTGGTCTACATTAAGGTCCAAAGGGTCCAAAATTAAACTTAGTTTGTTTTTAACAAAAATTTAATTTTTAGGGTTCTTTGATATGCTGAATCTAAACATGTATTTAGATTTTTGATTATGGGCCCAGTTTTCAAGTTGGTCCAAATCGGGGTCAAAAGGGTCCAAAATTAAACTTTGTTTGATTTCAACAAAAATTGAATATATGGGGTTCTTTGATATGCTCAATCTAACCATGTATTTAGATTTTTGATTTTTGGGCCCCGTTATCAACTTTGTCCACATTGAGGTCAAAAGGGTCCAAAATTAAACTTTGTTTGATTTCATCAAAAATTGAATTCTTGGGGTTCTTTGATATGCTGAATCTAACCATGTATTTAGATTTTAGATATTGGACCATAATAGGTGAATGTCCAATTTAAAATTTTTAAGTTCTTAGACCACATTCATTCTGTGTCAGAAACCTATGCTGTGTCAAATATTTAATCACAATCCAAATTCAGAGCTGTATCAAGTTTGAATGTTGTGTCCATACTTGCCCCAACTGTTCAGGGTTCGACCTCTGCGGTCGTATCAAGCTGCGCCCTGCGGAGCATTTTATTCTGGATGCTTTGGTATATCCTCTTTCTGAATCAAATTTTTTTTTCAACCTGTGTCACATTCTAAAATATAACTATGATGTCCCATTTTATGTCATGGCTTAATGGACAGACCCATGTATAATCCATCAAAATCACATGCACTTATTACAATTGGAGACCATAAAACTACAGATCATAAAGAAATTGCTTATACATTTAATTTTTTTTGTACATTCAATAATTATTTTACCTCATGTGTTGAAAAATGATCAGCATGACAATATCTTTTTGTGGGAGTAATTGCCCTTTAATGGCGATTTTTTACCAATTTTTTTCGTTTTTGCCTATAATCTTGAAAACTATAAAAGATACATTTAAATAGCAAAAATGATCAGCAAGACATGATCTGCAAATAAGTTAACATGGCCCTTGTTGGCTCCTTTATTGGAGTAATTGCCTAGCCTTTTTCAGCTGATTTTTATACGACCGCATTTTTTGCGGTCGTATATTGCTATCACGTCGTCGTACAAAGACATTTGGTTTCTGGACAATAACTTTAGTTTAAGTGTATGGATCTCTATGAAATTTAACCAAAAGGTTCAATACCACAAAAGGAAGGTTGGGATTGTTTTTGGGGGTGATGGTCCCAACCGTTTAGGAATTAGGGGCCAAAAAGGGGCCCAAAAACAAGCATTTTTCTAGTTTCAGGACAATAACTTGTGTATAAGTATTTTGATTGCTCTGAAATTGTACCACAAGGTTCAATACCACAAGTAGAAGGTTGGGATTCATTTTGGGGGTAATTGCCCAAACTGTTCAGGAATTTTTTTTTCCTCAAGATTAAAGAAATTGTCAATTTTCCAAAAAAAATTGGGGGTTACAATTTATTTTGCTAATTCTTTGTATATAGTCTGAAAACAGATTTACTTAGTATTGCGCAACAGCACAGTGTATTGCACAACAGCAAGAAATCTTCAATTGAATATAAATTCAAATCATATAACCAATTTCAAGTTCTTTGACTACATTTATTCTGTGTCAGAAACCTATAATATGTCAAATATTTAATTACAATCCAAATTCACACCTGTATCAAGCTTGAATATTGTGTCCATTTTTACCCCAACTGTTCAGGGTTGGACCTCTGCGGTCATTTCCAGCTGCGCTCGGCGAAGCAGTTTATTATAGTTTGTTCTTATGTTGTACTGTTTACACCACTGTCCCAGGTTAGGGGGAGGGTTGGGCGCCCACTAACATGTTTAATCCCGCAACATTCTGTATGTGCCTGTCCCAAGTCAGGAGCCTGTAATTCGGTGGTTGTTGTTTGTTGCTGTGTTACATATTTGTTTTTCGTTCATTATTTTGTGCCTAAATTAGGCCATTAGTTTTCTCGTTTGAATTGTTTTACATTTGTCATTTCGGGGCCTTTTATAGCTGACCATGCAGTATGGGCTTTGCTCATTGTTGAAGGCCATACGGTGACCTATAGTTGTTAATTTCTGTGTCATTTGATCTCTTGTGGAGAGTTGTCTCATTGGCAATCATACCACATCTTCTTTTTTATATTCTAATGATGATTTTTACCATTTTTTTTGCATTTTTTGCCTATTTTCTTAAAATTTGTAACGGATATTTAGAAACTAAAAAAATCAAACATGATCAGCAGATTTTGTGCATAATATGTACATATGCATAATATATTTTTGGGAGAAACAAAAAAATTACAAATTTCGAGGAACACCCTTTTTCGCTAAGTTTTCAATGAAAACTGATATATTGGTATAATTTGATAATATGAATTTATTCCTGGTGTCAAAAATTGATTTCTATAGGAGGAGGGATTTGTGATAAAAACTTAGTTTTTGTTAAAAAAATCATAAATTTTAAGAAACATCTTTTTTTGCTAGAATTTCAATGATAATTGAAAAGTAGACCTGTATAACTTGCTATTCCAAATTGATTCAGGTGTCAAATTTGTAGTAAAAACTTAGTTTTTGTTAAAAAAATCACAAATTTTGAGAAACATCTTTTTGTGCTAGGATTTTAACAAAAATTAAGATAGAAGTATAATACCTGTTCCAATTGATCCTTAAAAATTATCCGTCTACCACCAATTTTGATATGGCTGCCATAATACATTATAAAAAAACCTAAATGGCTTGGATTTTATTGAAACTTCCTATTTACTAAGAAAAGTTATCCTAAAAAAAATTCTGCTGTCAAAATTTATGAAAATTGAAACCGTATGAATTGTATTGCTTTGTTTTTATTAGAATTACTTATTTGTTTCTGTGCCTCACACAAAAATGTGCCAGCAGGGCCCTTCTTGACATTGTCAGTTTCCTAGTTTAATTAAGATAGTTATTGATACATTTATTTTGTCATAACCTTTTACAGTATAAAGATTTCTAAGATTTGTAGCAAAAGAGTTTGTCAAAATTCCTTTTATTTCCAGGTTAGGTAAGATAAAGGAATGGATTGATGCCAATGATCCTGGAGCTATAGTCATTTTGATGAGCTGTGCTATTGAGTTACATTTATTTGACATGGAACCAGCTGAAAAAGAAGCTTATTTTAAGGAGAAAAATACAACAAGGTAACAAAATGATATGAAGTTTTACTCATTGAAACAAAAAGTATTCATTTTCACTTATTTAATTTTAACTAATTACAGCTTAAGATTTTATAAACTGTGCAAAAAAGGCCAAACAATTATATATTCATTGTTTGGGATCTTAATTTTCAAGCTTCCACAAAAAAACCAATATGTATGTCTTACTAACTGTCTGTCAGAAACAAACTATTTCCAGATAATAGCTTAAATTGCATTGGAGTAGCACTTTCTAAGATTGCAAAATTACTATCTTACTGTTATATGAATGTAAAAAATGAATTTGCTCTGTGTCTTCAAATACTATTACAGAGATATGCACCTATGAATTGTAACGAAGGTCGTGGTTCTCTCTGGCACTCCTGCTTCTTCCACCAATAAAAACTGACCGCCACAATAGAGCCAATAAAACAATCTATAATTCTAAGAAATGTAAAAACAGTTTCCAAAATGATAACTTCAGTACACTTTGGAGTAGGCCATAACAAACCTACCAATCATGAAGGTCAAGTCCATTTTCTACTGCTTCAGTAATTCTTTTTATAGTCCTTGAATTTTCTCAAAGTATTTAAAAAAAAAAGCTTAAAGGATGAAAAATTTGGTTTAAAAGTAAAACTTTACAACTTTTGCAAAATTATGACTATTCATGAAATGCAGACTGAATGTAGTTTTCCCTGTTGCTGCAAGTATTGTTTAGGTTCCTTGAATTGTCTCAAAACCATAAAAATGATTTATGGATGATACCTTTTTATGAATAAAATGAAATGTTAGGTATACATCCATTGGACAGCAATCTAACTTTTCAGAAAATCTATAGTACTTAGATAAGCATCATATGTTAGGAAGTGTTTGGTTCACAGTTTAGTGAAGCAAAGATGTAGATCATTATTTGGTGTTTGGATCATAAATAGCTTTGATTACTGAATGTATTATGATAGGTTGTCAAGTAGCATAATCTTTATAAACACCAGAGGTCGTCTGAATTGTATGCAGGTAAATTCCTCAAAACTTTGTTAGCACCTTATTGTATAAGGTAGTTTCAGTGCATTTTTTCAATGTTAAATTCCATATCATATTTATGAAGAAGCTATATTGGAGTTATGTTACTAGCTTTATGAACATATGTATGAGCTTTATGACAATCCCTACCAAACTCTGTGAAGCTAATAAATCACAGTTGAAGTGGAGGTATTCTAAGTACTTTGAAGGTATCACTTTGCTGTAAGATTAAAAGATTCATGATTTAATTTACCTATGCAAAGTACATGTTGCTGGAATAAGCTTCACCAGGTACACTTGACTAATTTTGAGACAATAAAAACAAAAGGTTGGAAAAAAAAACATCCAATTCCGTTGAAGGTCAGAGATGAAATAAAAAAACCTGGCATACATCTATCTGTTCAAGCTGGGCCTGAACACAGCCAATGTAAAGAAGGGTCTGAAATATAAGGAACTGATAATTAACTAATCTTTAGGAATGTGTATTGCAAACTTATAAACAACATTTATATGGTAACCTTAGTGTATTGGCTATCTTTAAATTTCAAAATACTTTGGATTAATTCAAATTTTTCTTTACTAGCAAGTATGATTAGCTATCGTAATACAAAAATGCCAGCCTGAAATGAACTTTAGGCAAGTGCCAAAAGAGGATGTATGTTATTGTGAAAATTGCATTACAATCAAACATTTTTGAGAATTACATAGTTAAGGCACCAAACTTAAAAAGATGTCTAAACCCTGGGCTAATAATGTCTCCCCTTGAAAAAAGGGGGAAAAAATGTTTTTATGTTGATGTTTTATAGCCCATATATAACTGAATATATATTGCTCATTATCCTATATACTGTTGATATTGCTTACTTATATTTATACCCCGCTTTAAAAAAGTGGAGGTATACTGTTTTACCTCTGTCTGTCCTTCTGTCAGTCCATCCATCCATCCATCCGTCAGTCAATCCGTCAGTCCGTCCGTCCCATGAATATTTTGTCGCATTTTTCTCAGGAACTACTTGACAAGGATTTCTGAAATTTGGTTTCAGGGTTTATATAAGTAAGTTACACTGTGTGATGCGTTTTCAGATTCATCACTCAAAACAAGAAATTATTTGAATCTGGAATAATTTTGAAATCTGGAAAATTGATTAGAAATGTATGATGAAAACTAACCCAACTAAATAGGGTTAGCCATGCGTGCATGGCTAAGGTTAATTTTACTTTCACTATCATTTCAGTATGAACTAACCAACCCACCTTAGCCATGCGCGCATGGCTAACCCTATTTAGTTGGGTTAGTTTTCATCATATATATCTCATCAATTTTCCAGAATTCAAAATTATTCCAGATTCAAATAATTCCTTGTTTCAACAACTTCCTGTTTACCAAACACTTGTATTATTTTACACATGATAGCCAAGTTGAAAATTTTCGTCTCAGGAACTACTTGACAAGGATTTCTGAAATTTGGTTTCAGGGTTTATATAAGTAAGTTACACCGTGTGATGCGTTTTCAGATTCATCACTCAACAACTTCCTGTTTACCAAACACTTGTATTATTTTACACATGATAGCCAAGTTGAAAATTTTCGTCACATTTTTCTCAGGAACTACTTGACAAGGATTTCTGAAATTTGGTTTCAGGGTTTATATAAGTAAGTTACACCGTGTGATGCGTTTTCAGATTCATCACTCAACAACTTCCTGTTTACCAAAATATTTCAGCGGGGGTATCATCAGTAAGCAGTAGCTCACAGTTTTACTTGTTTTGCATTGCACTAGTTCATTGCATGTCTCAAACTGTTAATGACATTCTTATTCTGACTGTTGGATGTGTATTGATTGATACTTTAGTCTGGGTATCGCCGTAGCTGAGGAGGCATTAAGTTTTACCCTTGTCCGTCTGTACGTCCCGAATTGGTTTCCATTCTCTAACTTAAGTTTGCCTCGACCAAATGTTATGAAACTTATAAACAATGCTTATCACCACAAAACACAGATCAAGTTCGATTTTTGGTGGCATCACTTTTACCTTTCTAGAGTTATTTCCCTTTACAAATGGAAAAATTGCTGAATTTATTTTTGGTTTCCGTTCTCTCACTTTAGTTTGCCTCAACCAAATGTTATGAATCTTATACACAATGCTTATAACCACAAAACACAGATCAAGTTTAAATTTTGGTGGCGTCACTTGTACCGTTCTAGAGTTATGCCCCGTTACAAATGAAAAAAATTGCTGAATTTTTCGTTTCCTTTAACTTTAGTTTGCCTCAACCAAATGTTATGAAACTTATACAGAATGCTTATAACCACAAAACACAGATCCGGTTTGAATTTTTATGGCGTCACTTTTACCATTCTTGAGTTATGCCCCTTTACAAATGGAAAAATTGCTAAATTTTTCGTTTCCGTTCTCTAACTTAAGTTTGCCTTAACCAAATGTTATGAAACTTATACACTATACTTATTACCACAAAACACAGATCAAATTTGAATTTTGGGGGCATCACTTTTACCGTTCTAGAGTTATGCCCCTTTACAAATGGAAAAATTGCTGAATTTTTCGTTTCTGTTCTCTAACTTAAGTTGCCTCAACCAAATGTTATGAAACTTTTACAAAATGCTTATTACCACAAAACTCAGATTAAGTACGAATTTGGGTAGCGTCACTTTTACCGTTCTTGAGTTATATCCCTTTATAACGTTATATGCAAGCGGGCATTCCCCATTTATTGTCAGCTGACTCCTGACAGGATTTTTTACCCCTAGATCACCATTTTATGAATTTTTGCAGAAACTAAAATAGATAGAGAGCAACAATATGGAGCAAATATTTTCAGCAAAAATAGCATCTTCTTATAAGTCAAGTGGTTGAAATTACAATTGACCCCTAAAAGGAGTAATTGACCTTGAAAGATGGTTTTTGTCTCGCCTTGACGGAGTCAAAAAGCGAGACATAGGTATGCTGTTTCCGGCGGCGGCAGCAGCGTCAACAATGTATTAGTTTGTTATTAGGTCTAGTTCATGGTGAACCACTAGTGGTAGGTCAATGATATTTGGTATGCAGTTGTATAAGCATTGGCACATCTCATTACCATGGAGATTATTTGGCCCCACCCCCTCAGTCAAGGTCTATTGACTTTGAAACTTTGCTTAGTTTACATGTATTAGTTTGTGATTAGGTCAGTTTATAGGGAACCACTAGTGGTAGGTCAATGATACTTGGTATGCAGTTGAATTAGCATTGGTACATCTCATTACCATGGAGATTATTTGGCCCCACCCCCTCAGTCAAGGTCTATTGACTTTGAAACTTTGCTTAGTTTACATGTATTAGTTTGTGATTAGGTCAGTTTATGGGGAACCACTAGTGGTAGGTCAATGATATTTGGTATGCAGTTGTATAAGCATTGGCATATCTCATTTCCATGGAGATTATTTGGCCCCGCCCCCTCAGTCATGGTCTATTGACTTTAAAACATTTGCTTAGTTTACATGTATTAGTTTGTGATTAGGTCAGTTTAAGGGGAACCGTTAGTGGTAGGTCAATGATAATTGGTATGCAGTTGTAGAAGCATTAGCACATCTTATTTTCATGGAGAATATTTGGTCCTTACTTCTCAGTCATGGTCTATTGACTTTGAAACTTTTGCTTAGTTTACATGTATTAGTTTGTGATTAGGTCAGTTTAAGATGAACCACTAATGTTAAGTCAATGATATTCGGTATGCAAATTTATTGGCATTTGCAAGTTTCATTTCCATGGAGATTATTTAACCCCACCCCATTATTATGGTTCATTGACTTTGAAACTTTTACATAGTTTACAAGTTAATGTTTGTGTTTAGGTTTGTTTAAAGGGAACGACTTATGAAAAGTCAATGGTATTTGGTTTGCAGTTGTATTAGCATTGGCACATCTCATTTCCATGGAGACTGTTTAGCCCTGTACATTCAGTCATGGTTCATTGACTTTGAATATTTGCATAACTTACATGTTAATCTCTGTGTTAACAGTTTATTTTACCCATTTTTGTGTATTTTACAGAAACTATTATAGATAGAGAGGGACATAAATAGCAAAAATGTTCAGCACAATAAGATCTACAGATTAGTCAACATGGGTAAAATGTTCAACTGACTCCTTATACTGATTTCAATAATTTTGCCAATTATTTCAAAAACTTCAAGAGATAGGTATAAACTGTAAAAAGTAAAAATTATCATCAATACAAGATCTGCAAAAATTCCACAAAAAAAGAATTACTAATAAGCAAACATAAGTCATTGCAATAAAAGTAATTTAAATATCAAATTGGCATACATTTTACAAGGCTGCTGCTCCAAAGTGGGTCATCTGATGCAAAAAGCATCAATTTTGACTATTTTCTGTCCCTATTTCATGACCTGGAAGACTCAGGGGTACTGATAGATGTATCTCACTGTAGTCTGCATATATGTGGATACCAGTGAACATATTACCAGCAAAAGTGCTTACATCTGAGTGAAACTGATCTAGGTATGGTCCTCTAAAGAAGGTCATTTCAACAAAAAATCTAGAATTTTCCGATTTTCCCCCCATATTTAGCTTTACCTTGACCTTGAACCAAAAGTAGTCATTCCCTAAGCATATTTGAATAATAGATCAGTGATTATATGCCTGCAGGTTTACACTGTTTTTGGAAGTTTTAGGCCTCTGTACAGCGTGGGCCAGACACAGAAGCCCTCCCCTCTGGAAAAAAAAGTTTTATCTGATTTCAATTTTCAAAGTTTGTATATAGGCTCAAACTACACCTTAAACCTGAGAAACATTACAATATATAGCCTTAGGTTGAGAGAACATGCAGACATTTTGAAATACATAGCATAAAGTTGACCTCTTAAAGTATGCAGAGCCATTGGAGCATAGTAATAGTTAAAAGTTTGTGAATAAGTTGCACAGATGAGTTTAAATTTTGTCACAAACTGTGTTTATTTAAGTTTAAAAGCAATAAAGAGTGTGGTTTGTTTTGATTATTTATTCATTGCAGTGCCCTTGAGAAAATTATAGTGACTGGTTACAAGGCCCTGCATTTAGTATATTTCTTCACAGTAGGAAAGGATGAAGTCAAAGCTTGGACAATGCATGTGAGTATAGCAAATTGCTAACAAAATAGTTTTGGCTCTTGCCAATCTTTCATTTGGTTGTTAGTTGTTTGCTTTCAGACTTTGACTTCTAGGATCACTATAATAGTTATCAACAGGTGTTGTTGGCTTTCAGACCTTGTCTTCTAGGATCACTGTTGTAATAATAAACATGTGTTGTTTGCTGTCAGACCTTGACTTCTAGGATCACTATAATAGTTATCAACATGTGTTGTTTGCTGTCAGAGCTTGTCTTCTAGGATCACTGTTGTAATAATAAACATGTAAATGGCTGATATTTTTGTTCAAGTATATTGTTTTTCTTAAATTGTTTAACATTTCACAGCGGTATAACATGTTAATTTAATTATTCTTCCCTTAGTTTATTTATTTTGTATTTACATTGTATCATAAATCAAATTTTTTGTTCAGTGTATGTTCACTGGTGTTAATATGTCTTTTGAAGCCATTTCAATTGATATTTTATAGTGTGTCTTTCTATGTTGTGATGTTACACTATTGTTTCAGATAAGGGTGAAGGTTTGGTACCATTAAAACGTTTAAACCCGCTGCAATTGTTTGCACCTGTCCTAAGTAAGGAATCTGATGTTTAGTAGTTGTTGTTTGTTGATGTGGTTCATAAGTGTTTCTCGTTTCTCGTTTTTTATATAGATTAGACCGTTGGTTATCCCGTTTGAATGGTTTTACACTAGTAATTTTTTTGGGGCCCTTTATAGCTTGCTGTTCGGTGTGAGCCAAAGCTCCGTGTTGAAGGCCGTACTTTGACCTATAATGGTTTACTTTTATAAATTTTTACTTGGATGGAGAGTTGTCTCATTGGCACTCATACCACATCTTCTTATATCTATGTGTTGTTTGCTGTCTTACCTTGACTTCTAGGATCACTGTAGTAATAATCAACATGTGTTGTTTGTTGTCAGACCTTGACTTCTAGGATCACTGTAGTAATAATAAACATGTGTTGTTTGCTGTCAGACCTTGTCTTTTAGGATCACTGTTGTAATAATAAACATGTGTTGTTTGCTGTCAGACCTTGACTTCTAGGATCACTGTAGTAATAATAAACATGTGTTGTTTGCTGTCAGACCTTGACTTCTAGGATCACTGTAGTAATAATCAACATGTGTTGTTTGCTGTCAGACCTTGTCTTCTTTGATCACTGTTGTAATAATTAACATGTGTTGTTTGCTGTCAGACCTTGACTTCTAGGATCACTAAAATAGTAACCAACATGTGTTGTTTGCTTTCAGACCTTGACTTCTTAGATCACTTTAATAGTAATCAACATGTGTTGTTTGCTTTCAGACTTTGACTTCTAAGATCACTTTAATAGTAATCAACATGTGTTGTTTGCTTTCAGATTTTGACTTCTAGGATCACTATAATAGTAATCAACATGTGTTGTTTGCTTTCAGACTTTGACTTCTGGGATCACTATAATAGTAATCAACATATGTTGTTTGCTTTCAGACTTTGACTTCTAGGATCACTCTAATAGTAACCAACATGTGTTGTTTGCTGTGCAACCTTGACTTCTAGGATCACTATAATAGTAATCAATGTGTGTTTTGTTTACTTTCAGACTTTGACTTCTAGGATCACAATAATAGTAATCAATATGTGTTGTTAGCTTTCAGACCTTGACTTCTAGGATCCAGTGCATTCATTAAGACCCGGTACCCGGTACTTTTACCCGCCTACGGAAGCGCCTGGTACCGGCAGAAAAAATAAAATTATAAAAAAAAAAGGTGTAAAATTCTTTTGAAGATCGTTCAAATCTAGTTTCTTTCTTTCCTTGATAATCTCCGTTCTACGCCGTTCATGTGTATGTTTATAGGTGTCTTCGTCGAGGTCCGCGTTAAAGTATAGATCTATCTTCTGCCAATTTAGGCACACCTCCAAAGTAGGAGAAGTGATAATTATAAACCATGTGTCTGTATCTGTATCGTAAGAGTGCTTTAAAATGCGACGATTTAGCAGTATATTTTCGAGCGGCAAATTGTTGATGAATTTAAACAACAATATTATTTCTAACAAAAGGAAAGCAGCTTGTATCACAGATTATTTTATGAATAAAAGGTTTAATAAAGGTAAACATTCTATGAAATTCAGAAAATCGTTAATCGTATCAAATCAGTTCGTTTCCCGTTGGACGTTGTCACTGATCTCCGTTTTCCTCGATATGTGTTCTATGTTGTGATTGAAATTTTTAGTGTAAGACTTCGTGAAACAATCTGAATTAACATAACTGTTAGGTTTACAAAGTATAATATCTGACGAGATTTAAGACTTCTAAAATTAAAAAAAAGACAGCTCTGAAGAAGTGAAAAAAAACATTTTTACTTACTATAGTCAAGAATCCTATGATTAATTTGCCACCCCCTCCTTTTTCACAATCACCCCTTTTTATAAATATTAAAGTTAAGTGAAAGTTGAATACATGTTTTTTTTTCTGACAAGAACAATCATCACAACACTTAGCATATATCAAAAACGTTTGTTTGTTGTTTTGCATGAGAGCATGTTTATTGTTCATATTGTTTAATTGTTTGCATGACACTGTTAAATTTTTGATTATAACAAAGCAATAAAAAAAAGTTACAACAAGTTTTATTATCAATTTTTTTTAATAATATACTATGTAACTTATGAAATTTCATTCACAAAATTGAACAAATGCAAAACATTTAATAAAAGTATAAAAACAAACAAAACATTTAAACAACATTTCACATGAAACCCCTGCATTATAGGTCATACCATGGAAGTATTATATTGACAATATGATTACTCTAGAAAAAAAACAATTCAATGTTAACTTACCCAAAATTGAAGCAAATATTACAGACTTTACCCTATTTTTTTAAGTAAAAAATTAAGACTGAAATCCCTAAAATCCAGGAGCTTCCGAGGGGGCTTTGCCCCCCTTGTCCCCCTACCAGGGCTAGCCCTGGACTGACTGGGGGCCTTAAGCCCCAGACCCCTCGCCGTTTGGGTTTGGTTCCCCTTATAATCTCAAAGGTACCTCCAATCTAAAAAAATAATGAAACCCCTGAGGATCACTATAATAGGAATCAACATGTGTTGTTAGCTTTCAGACCTTGACTTCTAGGATCACTATAATAGGAATCAACATGTGTTGTTGGCTTTCAGACCTTGACTTCTAGGATCACTATAATAGTAATCAACGTGTTGTTTACTTTCAGACCTTGACTTCTAGGATCACTGTTGTAATAATAAACATGTGTTGTTTGCTGTCAGACCTTGACTTCTAGGATCACTGCAGTAATTATCAACATTTGGTGTTTGCTGTCAGACCTTGTCTTTTAGGATCACTGTTGTAATAATAAACATGTGTTGTTTGCTGTCTGACCTTGACTTCTAGGATCACTGTAGTAGTAGTAATCAACATTTGGTGTTTGCTTTCAGCATGACTTCTAGGATCACTATAATAGTAATCAACATGTGTTGTTGCTTTCAGACCTTGACTTTTAGGATACTCAAATAGGAATCAACATGTGTTGTTTGTTTTCAGACTTCTAGGATCACTATGATAGTAATCAACATGTGTGGTTTGCTTTCAGACCCACTATAATAGTAATCAACATGTGTTGTTTGCTGTTTGACCTTGACTTCTAGGGTCACTGTAGTATAAGTCAACATGTGTTGTTTGCTGACAGACCTTGACTTCTAGGATCACTGTAGTAAAAATCAACCTGTTGTTTGCTTTCAAACCTGGACTTCTAGGATCACCTTCGTAGCCAACATGTGTTGTTTGCTGTCAGACCTTGACTTCTATGATCACTGTAGTAGTAGCCAACATGTGTTGTTTGCTGTCAGACCTTGACTTCCAGGATGACTGTTATAGCTATCAACAGGTGTTGTTTGCTTACAAACTTTGACTTCCAGGATCACTATAACAGTAACCAACATGTGTTGTTTGCTGTCAGACTTTGACTTCTAGGACCACTATAACAGTAATCAACATGTGTTGTTTGCTGTCAGACTTTGACTTCTAGGATCACTATAACAGTAATCAACATGTGTTGTTTGCTGTCAGACTTTGACTTCTAGGACCACTATAACAGTAATCAACATGTGTTGTTTGCTGTCAGACTTTGACTTCTAGGATCACTATAATAGTAATCAACATGTGTTGTTTGCTGTCAGACTTTGACTTCTAGGACCACCTTAACAGTAATCAACATGTGTTGTTTGCTGTCAGACTTTGACTTCTAGGACCACTATAACAGTAATCAACATGTGTTGTTTGCTTTCAGACCTTGACTTCTAGGATCACTATAACAGTAACCAACATGTGTTGTTTGCTGTCTGACCTTAAATAATGATTCCCCCAACCCCCCCCCCCCCCCAAAAAAAAGTAAGATTTTTTTTGGCTATTGTCTTGAAAAATATAATGAACAGAAATAGTAAATATCATACATGATCAGTAATACTAGATCACTAAAATAAATGCCAATATGACTCTCATCTACCACAGTATAAAAATAAGAAGTTGTGAGACAATCCCACCATAGACCAAATGACGTAGAAGTTAACAACTATAGGTCACCACCTTCAACAATGAGCAAAACCAATACCCCATAGTAAGCTATAAAGGACCCGAAATGACAAATGTAAAACAATTCAAAAGAGAAAAGTAACGGCCTGATTTATGTACAAAACAGTAAAAAAAAAACAAATATGATATACAGCAACAAACTACAACCACTGAATCACAGACACCTTTACAGTTCACAACGTCACACTGCTGATTACATAGCTACTGCAGCTGATTTATAGGCTAACTACCAGAGATAATTTACAGTGAGAGAATGTTTACAGCTGTGCTTCTAGTACTCTTAATAAATGTTCCATTAATCAGTAATTAACAGAATTTAAAAAATAAAACAAAATACAAAATATATTTCTTTCTTTTCCTTTTTAAGCGTGAAAGCTATCCTAATCAGGTATGAAAAGTTTGTGACTGGAGGTTTATTCAAATTATTTGTCAATGTTTGGCTTCTTTATCCTTGGAAGACTCACAATCCAGTTCCAAGAATGAATCACATTCCAAACACTATAAAACTCGTCATAATTTAATTTAAACACATACCTTTGTAAAGAAAAGAAAGTCACCAGTTGAGAGATTATTTATTTGTAAAATGGAATTTATTGGTTCATTTCAGGATACCCCAATGGTTTTGTCTAATCTAAAGGGTTTTGACAGTTATTTTACGAAAATATAAATCATGTGTTTGTTTATAGCGGATATATTAGTCAATGCGAAAACACACTTGATTATGCAATCGGGTTTATCAGTCACAGTAAGAAGAGCATTGATAATAACCGCATATATAGCTGTCAGTTAAATGATTCCCACAGTGTTACCAATTTTAGCTTGAAAAATAAGATAGATAGATAGAAACTGTGCTGTAAAAATTACTTCTATTTCATCATCATTAATTAATGTTAAACCTTTCCATACTCTAATACCTATAAGACAAAGAAATTATTTAACTTTATGCGATATTCCAAGAAATACTTATATACTGGAATAGTTATGAGAAAAAATGTTCTAACTATTCTTTTGTAAAATTAGCATTAGTTATAATCCTGGTTCTTTGGAATTACAGTGGTTTTGTTGAACCAGGCTTATGTGCCAAACTTCCTGGAGAATAGATATGTACTGTCACCATGTTAATAATCTTTCTTAGAATGACCCAAAAAAAATCGTAATCAGGACAAGGATAATATGATATGAATATTAAACCTGTTTTGATTTGACCAAAGGAGGAGGTATGATCAGAGCCATTATTTGACCCCTGAAATTGCAAAAATTGTAAACTTATTCAAGCCTTTCAAAATTCTGTTAAATAAATTGACAAATGAACAGGTTTTCCAATTTAAGGTGCCAAAAAAGTGACCTTATCATACCTTCTCCTTTCCATCATTTGCTATAATAAAATTGAAACTAACAACTGTGCAATAAACTTTTTCCTGTCAAAGTTCCCATATGTGTTTAGAATGTAATGTACAATCTAACTAGTTTTCTCGTTTGAATTGTTATACGTTTGTCATTTTGGGACTTTTTATAGCTGACTATGCAGTACTGGTTTTGCTCATTGTTGAAGGCCTACGTTGACCTATAGTTGTTAAATATGTCATTTGGTCTCTGGTGGATAGTTGTCTCATTGGCAATCATACCACATCTTCTTATTTTTATATTAAGTGGGGTAAATGAATAAGTTTTGATAATAAATAGTAGAGATGGTTTTTGTACACATGTATTATTAAACTGATTTCAGTTTTAATGTTCAAGATTGTTTTAAAAGTTGCTTATTTTGGTGAGAACTGCTAGAAAATGTTAATTTTGAAGGTGTCAGATATTTCTAATAAATTTTCTTTAACTATATTTAAATCCAAATCACCTTTGAATCATAAAACGAATGCAACTTGTCATAGATATTAGATTGCAGATCTCTTTGTAAACTGCATACTATGGTTAATTTAATAAATTGTAAAAGTAAATATAACCATATTTCTCTCAGGTGGGAACCAAAGCTCCACAGGCTGCTGGTAGAATACATACTGACTTTGAACGAGGTTTTATTATGGCAGAAGTGATGGGATACAATGATTTCCATGAGCATGGATCAGAAGGAGAATGCAAGGTAGTAAACACTTTATGTTATTTTGTGATAAAGAAAAGTTGAACAAATGTATATTATGATAAGATCAAAAACAGTATGGTACATGAGACAATATACTGGACAAAGTTTTTCATGGGAGTTATTCAACATTTCTTTTTGGTTTCTTTGGCCGTTAATATTTTGTAATTATGCCCCCTGAAAATGTTTCCGAAGCATATAGTATTCACTTTGTTACTCCATCTGTCTGTCCCTTGTCCATCCGTCCATTTGGGCATAACTGCGTTTGCCCAAAGGTTTCAGGATGATAACTTCAATATCCCTTTTTTGATTGGAATGAAACTTGTACAGATATAGGGGAAGGAAAGAAGCCTATTGATTATTGAAATTGTCGGACAATTCTTGTAGGAGTTATTGTTCTTTTATGATGATTTTTATACGACCGCAAAAATTTTTGCGGTCGTATATTGGTATGACGTTGGCGTCGGCTTCGTCGTCGTCCGAAGACACATTGGTTTTCGCACAATAACTTTAGTTTAAGTGAATAGATCTCAATGAAATTTTACCAGAAGGTTCAATACCACAAAAGGAAGGTTGGGATTGATTTTGGGGGTTATGGTACCAACAGTTAAGGAAAAAGGGGTCAAAAAGAAGCTTTTTTGTAACTTCCAGACAATAACTTGTGTGTTAGTGTATGGATCTCTCTGACATTGTACCACAAGGTTCCATATCACAAAGGGAATGCTGGGATTGATTTTGGGGGTAATTGCCTCAAAATTTTAGGAATTAAGGGTCAAAAAAGGGGCAAAAAACAAGCGTTTTTCTAGTTTCATGACAATAACTTGTGTGTAAGTGTATGGATCTTTCTGAAATTGTACTACAAGGGTCCATATCACAAAGGGAAAGCTGGAATTGAGTTTGGGGTAATTGCCCAAAACGTTTAGGAATTTTGGGCCAAAAAGGGGCAAAAAATAAGCACTTTTCTAGTTTACAGACAATAACTTGTGTTCAAGTGTATGAATCTCTCTGAAATTGTACTGCAAGGTAACATACCACAAAGGGAATGCTGGGATTGATTTTGGGGGTAATTGCCTCAAAATTTTAGGAAAAAGGGGCAAAAAACAGCATTTTTCTAGTTTCATGACAATAACTTGTGTGTAAGTGTATGGATCTTTATGAAATTGTACTACAAGGTTCCATATCACAAAGGGAAAGCTGGGTTTGAGTTTGGGGGTAATTGCCTTAAAGGGAAAATTCACGATTTTTTACTTTTCATCTTATTATGTTCATAATACCATAAAAAACATATTTTCCAAGTTTTATCTGGATATGAACACTAATAAAGAAGAAAATTGGGAATTAATAATTTAATTTATTCCAACTTCCTGACTTATGTGACGTAGTTTAAGTCTTTTTGCATGCCGCGAGTGAATAAATCTCATTGTAAGTCTTGTTCGTTAATCATCTAATAAGGCGATTTAAAGCGCATCGACGACTTTTGGCGTAGCTATTAACCAACTAATAATTAAGAAAGTAAAGTGATCAGCTGTGCAACTTTCAAAATTAAAAAGTACGATTTATATTTAAAGGATTTCTGATATGATTATAGTAATAAAAGTAAATCATACAATAGAATATATTTTTATGATTTTTTTTTTCGACGGATATTTTGAACAAACATATATAACTGATATTGTTTTACAAATGCATGTTTGTATTCTCACCTGAAGGCTTTTACTTCAGTCTAGCAATCATTTCCCACTAGTACTGTGTAAATACAATGTGTATTGTACTGTGACACTTAGTGACTACCTGTTGAATGCATGGTTAAATTCAAGGTAATTAAAAGATTAGCATTCTGTAATTCTATTCTTTTGATCTTCACGCAGTGAATTTTAGCCAACACGGTTTACAGGTGTGAACAGCATTTCGTATGAATGATAAAAACATTATTTATTTGGGGAGGAATATGGTGGCAAAATACCTGAATCGCCGTTATATACATGTATATCTTTTATATTTTGCGTAAGCTTAATTTTAAAATAGATAGGTGAGTATTTTGTTGTAACATCGAAATTCTGAATTACTTTCAATTAAATAATTTTAAAATAAAAATGGCCCACGAAAACGAGCGTATAAACCAAACACTGTACTTACTTTTTCAGATTATCATGGGTATTAACCTTGAATATTTCAATGTTTAGAGAAAATTATCGCGGTTACATGATTAATATAGCTTGGTCTGTCCACAGCAATCTACATTTACCTAATCGGGAATGCCCTTATTAAAATATTTAAAATCTCACAACGTATACATACTTTAGCTATTTGACCAACGATGTTTAAAAAAAATAACAGAATCAATCTAACGTCAACTTTCCTTTTTTGAATGTAGACAGACCGGCGGAATTAATTTTCAATGTGCTTTATATCTTGTACCTTTACAAGACTTATCATTCATTCATAAACCAACTCTATACCAGAGACATATAAACTGACAAGAATACACCTAAAGCGGACAAGCAGTATATTCTTTAAGTTTCTGTGATTTAATACCAAGAAAGAAAAAAATCCCGAAATTAATTTGATACTTTGATACTCAATATTTTTCCTGGAAAATATTCACATCCTCGTTTGGTCTGAAAATAAGATAAGAATTTGGTATACAGAACATGCAGAAGTGTGAATGTCATAAAACTTTGTTATATCAGAAACCATTATAAATGTGATTCTGTATACGTAAGACCTCATGGGACGTCACCTAATATACAAGTAGCTCTGTTATACCTGGAAATGTCAAGGTAAATCACTACCGATACAGAATGTACCAATGCAAAGAAAATTCTGATGATTGTGAAGCATGACCATTCATGATTTTAGAGGAGTCTTAGGTGGAAATTGCCGGTACGATTTAAATTCTGACTAGATTTTTTTCTCTCAGTTTAAATCACTGAACTTAAAAAAAAAGAAACCTACGCCCAAGATCAGAATTCTTCATGTAAGTTCATAAATACAACGTTCTTATTAAATATTTTGTAACTTTCGATATACTTCACCTCCAACCACCGCCCCCTCCCAACCTGGGAACAGTATATCTAACATTACAATGTTTGTGTACCTGCCCAAATCAAAAAAAAAAGAAGAAAAAAGAAAGAGATGAACGGTAAGTCACATCAGATTCAAATATTTATATGGTTGATTGTCGTTAACTAGAGATGTATAGTTACATGTCTCTGCATTAACTTATAAGAATGACAGGAAAGTATATACTTGAAATAGATTTATGATGAATAATATGAAACTGCAGCACCCTTTTTTATCAAAGTGTACATGCATGTATTTTAATGACTGTCCGTTATTTCGATTAAGAATGACAATTGTACGTGAAATTCTATAGTTGCCAGTGAGACTTTTTTTTTACCAGATATGAGACTTTTCGTATTTATATTTTCTCTTATATTACTCTCATTTAATATTTTATGCATAAGTGCAATATTAGGAATGGTTCACCCCCCCCCCCCTCCCTTTTAAGCTAACTAAATAAATTAATCAACCCTCTAGCTGACCAGACGTTAATACATCTACTATCAGTCTATTCGGAGTGAAGTTTCTTTATTTCTTCAAATAAGCTTTTTGGGGATCATTAGTGTACGTCCAGTGGCATATATATTACATGCAAGTCGGAACAGGAAAATTGACATGAGGTACTACCGGTATAATAGAACCATGTTCACATTATTTCATTATTATACATAATACACAACCATTGAGATGATGAAGACTTTCTTAAACTGTTCAAAATAATCTAATTGAAATAAAAATCTGTGATTTAACTATGTGCATAACTTCGATGAACCAAAGCAAGTTAGATATCGACCTGTATTTAAATCAGATTGGTTTTGGATGTTTCTCTCGTATATTCAATATACATGTATATATTCTAAATTGCGACTATCTATAGTTCCGTAACCTTCTATCTAGGCGTATAATCCAATGATCGACAAGTGCGTACATTTTGTTAAATTAATATTTGTACGTTTCAAAATGTCCATAATTATTGACAACGAGTAATTACTTACATTTTCCCCAATTTACGTTTGGAAAATATGTAAATATATTTTTATTTTATCAAATCTTTTTTTGGAATTATTTAGATTTTCATAAATATTCTTTACACGATAAATGTTATTTATAAACAACCGTATGAGTTTAGTCATATATATAATGGCTATTATATCTATGGTTTAGTAAAGACTAGCATATCACTATCGGACACGCAAGACAAAGATATTCACCTGATAGTTTCAAAATGGAAAGTTAAAAGTTATCGGCCGTGTACACTTCTCAATACCTTCACAGGTGAAGTGATGCACGAACTTGCTTTATGTAATTGTCACGGTGTTATTATTGTGTAATAAGAGTTTTAAAGCCCGACAGGAAATCGCTTGAATACCTGGACGTGTCAACTCACAATACCTCTGGGAACAATTCCTTTAGCCATGCTGGTGATCAGATAAGGGAAGGTCCGAATTTATTTAAATAAGATTATTACATAAATCAGAGAAATATAATACAATTTATGAACACACTAGATTTTCGAAAACATTTTTACACGGAACACTTAATTTATCACTTTGAACTTTTAAACTAATTTCCATTAAAATTTCTTGTTTCAAAAACAGTTTTAAAATGACAGACCATAGTACTAGTTATTCAAAAAAAATTATATATGATTACATTTTCCGTATCAAGTTAGTTAGGAAAGGTTGCATGCACAACCATGTCTATTATCTTTTTTGTGTCCCGGGAAACTGTTTAGGCTTTCCTTGTTGGGTAAAACAACCGTACGCTTGACAAGATATCGACACTCAATTACGTCTACGGTAGGTAACTGCTTGTTTTGGTCCTTTGTGGTTTATAGATATATCGTGGTTTCTATTCAGGGATGATGTCAAAATGGCCGCACGCTGAGAAGTGATACTCTAAATTTAAAATCGATGGTGATCTCTTATCTAGCAGAATTA